GGATTAAGGGGTTACAATGATTGGAAACCAAGACTCGACATGGAATTTGATTCGGAAGAATCAGCATATAATTTTTATAATGAGTATGGGCGTAGAATTGGATTTAGTGTCCGAAAAGATCATGTTAATAGAAGTACTATAAATGGGGAAGTTACTTCTAGATTATATATTTGTTGCAAGACAGGTTTACGAGTAAAAGACAAGCGAGACAACTTGACAAAGACACCGAGAGCGGAAACAAGGACAGGTTGTTATGCTCATATGCATATTAAATTAAATAAAAAGATTAAAAAATATTTCGTGTATAAGTTTGAAGAAGAGCATAACCATTGCTTGGTTGTACAAGAATGCGCCAACATGATGCCATCATAGCGTAAAATATCTGCGTCTTAAGCAATTGGGGTGGACTTGGCAAATGCATCTGGAATATCTATGAAGTTCTCATATGAACTAATGGGAAGGCAAGTAGGTGGAAGAGCATGTCTTGGTTACACAAAATTAGATCAGAAGAATTACTTGTGTTCTAAAAGACAAAGTAGTTTGGCCTTTGGAGAGGCAGTTAGTTTGCTAAAATATTTTCAGAAACAAGCATTGGAAAATCCATCTTTCTTCCATGTGGTGCAGTTGGATAGTGAGCAACAAATAACGAATATTTTTTGGGCCGATGCAAAGATGATAATTGACTATAGTCAATTCGCAGATGTTGTCTCTTTCGACACTACTTACAAAACAAATAGAGCGAATCGGCCGTTTGCAATATTTGTTGGGTTAAATCACCACCGAGAGATGATAATATTTGGGGCTGCCTTGATGTACGACGAAACAATAGATTCTTTTGTGTGGTTATTTGAGACATTTTTGAAGGCTATGTCAAAGAAAAAACCCAAAACGATATTTGCTGATCAAGACGCAGCAATGGCAAAAGATTTACAAATTGTGATGCCCAAAACATATCATCGACTTTGTTCTTGGCATATCATGCAAAATGCCATAAAACATTTGAATGCCTTGCATGTTTAAGGAAAATTCATGTGGAATTAAAGATGTTTTAGGAAAATTCATGAATTATTATGAGGACGAAGACGAGTTCTTAAGTGCTTGGGATGCTATGATCATCGCCAAGTATGATGCTGGTGAGAATACTTGGTTGTGTAGTATGTTTGAACTTTGAGAAAACGGGCTAAGCCATATGTCAAACAAGCATGGTCTGCGGGAATGAAGAGCACACAACTTAGTGAAAGTTTCAATGCTAGTTTGAAAGGCTATCTAAAGTCTGACGATGACTTAGTGCAATTTTTTACACATTTTTGAGAGGATGCTTCATGACAAGAGATATAAGGAGCTTGAAGCTGAATATGCATTATGCCACAAATTGCCAAAGGTTAAAATGCATATGAAGATGTTAATACATGTGGGTAATATATATACCACTGCAATATTTGATAAGTTCCACAGACAATATGAAAACTCAGTAGATGCTGATATAAAAGGCTGCACTAATGATGGTGAATGTTTTGTATATATAGTTGTAAATGGTAGAGAATGTAGAGAACATCAAGTTAAAAACAGCTCACATGACTTTGTATCATGTAGTTGTAGAAACTATGAGATGAAGGGTGTGTTATGTAGCCATCCAATAAAGATTCTTAGAGAAATTTTGCATGCTAAGGAAATACCAAGTGAATATATTTTAAAAAGATGAACGAAAGATGCAAGAGTGGGGGTAGTGCAAGATTGCCATGGGCGCAATATTCAAGGAGATGTTAATTTGGAGGTGAATTCTCGTTATAGGAACTTGTGTTCTATATTCACTAGAATTGCATCTAGTGCGGCTGAAACTGTTGAATCATATGAGGTGAGTCTCAAGCATGCTAATGAGTAAAGTAATGTGGTTGAAAATTTTTTAAGATTGCAAGCCAGTGTAAAGAATGTGAATTTGGTGCATCTGATAGCTTTGGTGGAAATAAGGAAGGACATTTCATAGATATATCAAATGATATAATTGCAAAGGGCTTTAAGAAAAGAGAGTCCTCTCGAGGAAGACGATGGATTCCAAGTAAGCTTGAGATTGCATTACAAAAAAGAAAAAAGAGAAGAACAAAGTCGACTCAGGTACTTATTTTTAGTGCATGTGTACAATTTTATATTTTTCATTTACAATGTCAAGACTATTACACTTCAAATGCATTATAAGGCTACGGAAACACCAACCAACTTATCTCAAATTGAAACCAATATTGAAGCCTCAAGAACGATGTACCAAACAATTAATGTGAGTGGCTATAGATCTATAATTTTTTTTTTTCCAATCATTTGTCTTTTCTATTATATTGATTAAAATATATGATTTGCTAGGGTGCTGAAATACCAAACACTTATGCATGGATGAGTTATGAATTTATGCGATCTCCATCTTCAAATCATGGTTTCCCATATCAGGACCTTCAAGTTTCGAATAGCACACAATGCAGTCAGGTAAGCATTGTTTTGGATAGGTTTTTATTTTTTTATTTTACTGGTGATCAGCTTAATGTTACTTTAATTACATGCGTTGATATTTTTAAGTCTTGACATTTGTTATGTTATGTTTTAAGGACATTGATCTAAATGAAAATGAGAATTTAAGATCTTCAATTCCCGAAGACCTTCAATTGGTGGTTTCAGAATTGATCGATATTAGGTATTTATGGCTTTTTCTTTAGTAATATTTAAATTGTTTGGTAATATTTTTTCAGTCACTCATTTTATGTAGCTACGCTTGTCTATGTTTCTCAAGTGGCTGGAATGGTGGTGGTGTTTGTTCTCTTGGTTCTTCAACTGGCTACAAATATCTTTTTTTTTTTTTGGGTGTGTGTGTGTTTGTGTTGCAGTCCTAAAGTCATTATGCTATTTAAAACTTCCTTGAAGTACAATTGCTAATTGAAATTGTGGTAGATTAAATTGTGCTGTTATTAAGTTAGTTGAAAACAATTATGATTTCCATTATAAATAAATTAGCTTTTATTGCTACAGTTTTTGAGGCTTGGAAGGAGATGAATCTCAAAATATTTCAAAATGAATGCAGATATGTTGATACTTTGATCAAACATATTACTCTATTAGTCAGATGAAGAATGCTCTATGTTAAAAATATGTAGATAAATCTGGTTAAAGACAGGCTGTGTGATGAATGGTGCTTACCTGAATCTGTATTTGGGCTTCTGAATTCATAGTTCAATATTCTGATTCATATATTGAATAACCTGTTAATGTACAGTCTATATATATATGCATCAGGTGAAGTGCAAGTAGGACAATTACAGCTGTTGTTGGAGCTGCTTGTTCAATTGTTATTGCGAAAACGATGAGGGAGAGATAACGATGTTAAACGTCATTAGAGAGTGAATTTTTCTTAATTCAAAACGGTGCAGTTTTTAAACTTTGATTAAATTTTCCTTATTTCAAAACGGTACAGTTTTCAAAATTTCTTAAAATTAGTTGACGTGATTTAACACTAGTAGTAGATAGGTTTTTAATGTTACGTGTCATTGTGTAAAGAATTCAACTTACGATAACTTTGAGAATCTTTATGTTAGAGGATACAACTTCTTTACATTTGTATCTTGAACTCAATTCAATAATCTTTTTTTTTTTAATAGTAGTTTTTTCTATAGCGTTCTATCTAAAGTCGTTGCCTTTATTAAATCACATCTCACTGTATCCTCCTTTCTCAGTTCCAATCTTAGTTTTTTTTATTATTATTATTATTATTAAAATTTACAAAAGTACGCATATATAATGAGAAAAAAATAAATAAAAAATCCCAGTGGGGCGGCGGGGCCGATGCACCCACTGGATTTATGGTAAGACCATTGCCTGTCTAATAGTGTGACGTAAGTCTCATAGAGCATGAGCGAGATCCACTACGAGGGTGGGAGGAATAAAATAGCAAACTCTAAAATTTGATTACTCTAGAATATTTGTACATTTATGTGCTACTAAATATACATGTGTATGTATCAAAATTTTCAATATTTGTACACATGTTAAAGCTCATTATATACTTTGTGAAATATTAAAAATGCAATTTGATTAGCGCGAGAAAATGTGTTTTTATAATAATCTTATTTCTTCTATGTTAAGAGATTGTACATAATATTAGTAATACATAAAATACAAAAATTATGGTATATATTTTATTTTTAAGGTAATATGACATGATAAATCTATATATTTATTATAAAATTTAAAAGATATATTGTTTAAAAAATAAATCATTATGAATTCGATGGTTCACAAATTGAGTTTGTGGATTGACAAATAGAATTCGCAAATTGACAAAGGATTTATTCTCATAGTGCTAATTTGCGTACAAAACGTGAAAATGACGTCCATGTGTTTCCAAGAGAATGACAATGAAAACCAAATATGACATATATTCTTTTATTGCCCTTTTTTTTTTTCTTTTTCTTTTTTTTTTTAGTTTTTAGATTTAAAGCATATCAATACATTCAATAGGTGATGTTTGTCGGTTGTCCATGGTTGGTGAATTCCTCTCTAACTCTACAGATGGCTTTATGTTAAGTGTGTGGATAAACTAATAGCTGATTATGAACTCTTTCAACTAAAAAAGCGTTTTGTTGCTGGAACAACTAATAAGCTATAAACTAGTTTTTTTTTTTTTAAAAAAAAAAAGAAAGAAAAAAACACAAAACATAAATAGATAAATCAACTTGCATAGTTGCATGCAATTTTATTGTTTTCCGTTCCCCAATTGGATATAGAGAATTTGTTCAAGTCTACATATATTTACAAGCTAGTTCTTATATATTCAATTGTAACAATAAGTGAGAATGAACAACTAAGAGTTGTTCTAACATAATGAAAATCAATGAATAAGAATAAAAAATTTGATTCTCCTTTTTCTTTTTCTTCATATAATACCTCCCACAAAGTATATAATACCCCCCATAAATTTTTCAACAAATAAAAATATGAACAAACCCCGACAGTGTTTAGAATGACTCCACTAATGAATATAGTTACAAAACAAGAAATTTCAATGTCATCATAATTCATCCTGGCATGTGCATGCATGAGTTTTTTTTTCTTTTATTTTTTTTTTCTTTCCAACCACAACCTATTTTAATCTAAGCACATTTAGGGTGTGAGATCCACTCAACATTGGAATTCCCCTGAAATCAGAGAGTGCATAGTGATGAAGGTTTTGTAGCCTTTTTTTGATCTATGCTTCTCTGGACTGAGCACAAAAAAAAAAGAACAAGCTTTATATATATTTCTTCATTTATTTGCAAGTAAAAACAGCTTGTTTGCTCAAAGGGTGTGCTTGTTGATCTTTTCATTTGAGTCTTTGATCTTTTCATTTGAGTCTTTGCCTTTCACAATTTTAGGGTTGATGGTGAACTCTCCGGTGAGTCCATGCTCGCCACTGCTCGAGAAATCCTGGCTTGACTCTCTCACCTTCTTGAACTTCTTCATGTCCACGCCAGTTCCGTTCCCATCATAATCAGAGCCGGAGCCATAGATCTTGCTATGCCCCGGTTTCACCCCCTCGTTCAAGTCATCCAACGACACATCTCCTTCCAGTGCACGCACAACCTAGTATGGTAGTATCAATGACGGACCAGAAAATTGTATGAGAGGGGTAGCCTTGAACAACAATAATATATAGAAATTGAGTGGGGCATTCTTACGATTTTCCCAAAAAAAATAGGCACATTTTTTAAAAATTTACAAATTTATAGGTAATTTTGTAAATTATTATTATTATTATTATTATTATTATTATTATTATTATTATTTCGGTGGGGGCAGTTAAGACTCAATCTAGACCAGGCCATTATTTAATTTTACTACCCTAAGAAACCAATAAATGTAATATGATGTCAAGGTAGATTGTATTACTGACAAGGAGCTTAGGCATGGCATTTTAATAACAATAACCTTATACTGCTGTCAGAAAATGCGGAATGAAAATATAAGATTCATGTAGCGGATGTCAAATAGTTGGGAAAAGACTTAGGTGGTTGTTACTGTGATAAAATGTTAATACCAAAGCACCAATACCATGCATGTAAGAACAACAACAACAATAAACTTATAGAAAGAGTTTCCTACCTGGCTCATTTTCGGACGCCGCCTAGCAGAATGCCTAATGCAAGCAGCAGCACTCACTACCATACACAGCATCTCATGGTGCTTGTAGCTGTCCTTCAACCGCGGATCCACCATCTCTTCGTAGTCTCCAGTATCTACAGCGCGCAATAGAAGAGGCCTAGCCTGTTCATGCATAAACCACAAATTGGATTATCAATAGAGCAGAGCTAGGTGGTTCTCCAATGCATACATACATACACGACTTATGCATACAAGTGTGTGTGAGTTGCTGAAGTAAATGAAAAGCAACTGATAGATCAAAGTGAGGATTCAAACCCAGTCTACTAAGGTGTCATCCATATCAGATTCAATATCCACAGGTCTTCGACCGGTAATTAGTTCCAAGAGCATAATACCATAGGAATAAACATCAGACTTCTCAGTTAGCTTGCCACTTGATGCATACTCAGGTGCCAAATACCTGTACTCGCATACCAAAAAAAAAAAATCCAATACATTTGCATCAAATTTTCGTCTACTTGATTTCTTAATGCTGCAAAATTACAACCCAAAGTCGGTTTTCAAAGGAAATTTGCGCCAAAACAATTTTTTAAGTTTTTAAAATTTGAAAAGAGAAGGAAAAATGGCTACGGAGAATTACTAGCCTAATTAACTTTTTTGCCTGTAAATTATAATATATTGGGCTTGATTTTCCTACCCAAATGTTCCCATAATACGTGTTGACACATGAGTGCTGTTGTCATTAGAAAGCTTGGCCAGTCCGAAATCTGCCACCTGATAAAAAATGGTAGAGAACATCATCAATTATCTTATGAAACTGAGAGAAGACTAAACATATCCAATTATTGCAGTGCTGCAGTGACCCTGCAAATTAATACCTTGGCTTCATATTGATCATCAAGTAAAATATTAGCAGCCTTGATGTCTCGGTGGATAATTTTAGGGTGGCCTGCACATAGTGATTAAAAAGAATGTTAAGAGACAGACAGAGACAGAAATGGATAGATAGAGAGAGAGGGTCTGAATTACGTACAATCTTCATGAAGGTAAGCAAACCCTCTAGCCGCTCCAATCGCAATCTTGAGTCTTGCTTGAAACTCCATTGTCGGACGATCCTTTCCTGCAAATTTGAACGTGCAAGTGACATTGATGAATATGAAGGAACACTCTAGCTAGTGTGATAAAAGTACGTTCACTTGAGCTATGTTTGGTAGCATGGAATTAGTGCTTTGAAATTATAATTGAAGAAAATTTTGGATTTGGAGAAAAATTAGTTCAAACTTTAAATAAAAATTTCTTCAATTCCAATTTCAAGGCACCAGTTCCATGTTACCAAACATAAAAGTTAATAAATTAGAATTTCAATCCTTTAACTAAAAGATCTCAGCCACATTTCCACATTTTCTGTGAGCTAGGGAAGTGCACAAATGTATTATAAATGCAATGACCAAAAGTTTACTTACAAGAAGGCAACAGTTGTACTAGTCATGAAATACAAATATTATCAAACAACAATACTAATTAAGAGTGTGTAGCCAGAGAGGTTTTTATCAATGGGATAAAAACCCCATTGACTAAACACATCGATTTGGAAAATCGGGTTAGAATTTAAAAAATAGCATTGGTTAGGGAATAATTTTTCAAGTCAGGATGTGAAATACAAATATTATCCAAGAGTTTATATGGTTAGAGAATTAATTTGACAGTGTAAATCATACCATGCAGATGGTATTCAAGTGTGTTATTTGAAACAAATTCATAAGCCAACATCCTCTGAGCCCCTGCAATGCAGTACCCAATAAGCGACACAAGATGGCGATGATGGACACGACTGATAATATCAACTTCGGCCTGAAATTCTCGCTCTCCCTGTCCGCTACCATTTTTGAGACTCTTCACAGCAATCTCCCTCCCATCTGGCAACACTCCTTTGTGAACATACCCAAACCCGCCTTGTCCCAAGAGGTTAGACTTGGCAAACCCTCCGGTTGCAGTTGCTAGGTCCTCATAGCTGAAGGAGCTTGTGTTGAACCCAAGAGCCATGGCAGGGTGTGGAGGCGGCACGGCTTGGTATGGAGCAGAGAAATTAGAGGATGCCATGTCAGCGCTCATCAATGGCGGTGGTGGCGGCGGTTGCCCCCAAACTCCGTGTTCACTTGGCGGTGGATGATGCATGTTATGATGATATTGTTCAGAATATTGGGGTGGTTTGTTGTTCCAATTCCCATGTTGTGCACTATTGTAATAGTCATCTGCATGAAACCATTTATTAGAAATTATTAGAAAAATAGTCATCTGTTACATTTATTGAAAATTGCGACAACCCATTTATGCCATGAACTAATGCCCTAAACTCTTTAATTAAAGTTGTCCAACTTAAATAAATTCAAGTTTTGTGTTCAAGTATATATTGATGATTGGTAGTAAAAAAAAAAAAAAAAAACCATTTTTTTTTTTTTATAATTTTTTTATATCAAATTAGGACAATCGACATTTTGTTTAAAATTAAAGGAAAACATATGGTAATTAGTTAGAATTGGACACAGGAGATTGCATGTAACTAAGGCGAGTCTAGTATAGGAGTGAATTTAATAGCATGTTACTAGAAAATTTTATATGTACGCGTCTTTACGTGTGTGTGTGTGTAAACTTTTATTTGATGTGGATAGGAAAAATAAACTCTTTAGAAAAAAAAAATATATATATATATATATATATAAAACAAAGAGTAAGGTTTGATTGTGTACTTCTGTTTCCTGCAGGAGCACTATAGTACTGCATTGGAGGAGGCTGCTGTCTCTTCTTCCTCCTACAGCAACAGAACAGGCAGATTATAACCAAAAGGAGCAATATTCCGCCCCCTACCACGGCTCCTCCAATCAATTCTTTTGTTGCGGTTGGACTTAATGATTTGTTGTGATCTTGTGACGATGGTGACGAACGGTGCGATGGTGGAGGTGGAGAATGGTGATTATTATGACCAGTCGGGGGAGGTGAATGGTTTGGCGTAGTGCTGTTATGGTTAGAAGATGAAGGAGGTGTAGAGGAGGAGTTTGAACTTTTGGAAGTAGAATTTACATTTTGGTGTGGAGATGGTGGTGGCGGGGTGGATTTTGATGGTGGCGACGATGATGATCCGGAAGAGGGTGGTGAAAGTGAAGGAGGTGGTGATAAAGAAGGAGAATCCGATGACTCAGAAGCCTCAGTGGACGTTTCTTTCTTGGCACTTTTGGTCATGATTTAAGTCACAATATTGATTAACGTACCCGCCACTCCACCAAACAATGACCCCTAATCAAAATTAAACAAACAAAGTGAAATATGAAAATAGCTTACATTAATACCAATCATATCACAATAACCCAATGCAAGCATATAACATGGCATGATCATCATCCTAGCTGGTTAGCCATGAATTGAAGAAAACAGAGAACAAGCCCAGTTATGGTAATTTCTAATCAATACTTTTCCTTTGGGAGAAAAGTAATGAAATTTATTCACAATAGGATTCTTGTTTATTAAAGAGAGACGTAGAGAGAAGAAGGAAGAGGAGAGAGAGGGAGAGGAGGGAAATATTTACCTTTGGGAGAGGGGGCAGGGGGATTCTCAAAGAAAGCAAACAAAAGGGATTTTACATGGTAATGTTTCACCAAAGAAACTGCAAGCCATCCTTACATCCCCATTAACCTCCTACAAAATAGGGAAATTAACTCTCCAAAATCTATTTTGGGCTGTGTTTCCTATTATTGGCTGTTGTGTGCTACACCCTTCATTCAAGGGCACTAATGTCTTTTCTTAAAATATCAAGGTTCTGCCGGTAATTTAACTTAGCGAAAGTAGGGTCAATTTCCTTTCTCACATAAATTTGGCATGCAGCAATTGGACACCCAAGGAACTGTAAAAAAGGTACAGAATGAGGTGATCCTAACCCAGAGTCAAAACAACATCTGTTACCTATTTTCGTTGTGCTTTGTTGGGCACCTTAGTTCTAACTCGAACCTATTTTCGCTTTGCATATCTGGGCATCTTAGCTTTTTGGGTTGGAATTGCTTAAACAATTTCACCTATTCTTGGCATGTGGATTTCCATTGTATATACCATAATACCAATTTCCACCTCAGTTGTTAATGGCCTAACAAATGGCTTCACTTCCACCCTTAAAGCTCTTAAAACAAGTGTCACAAGTATGACCGTACAGTCTAGTCATCCATTAGACATAATGTCATACAAACAAAAATTTTGTATAAACCTTTTATACAAAATGGTATCCCTAGATATGAGGCTTTTTGTATTAACTGTTGTAAGTATGTCAAGTTTTCAACTTTCAAGGGAATAAGCAACCCACAAACTTACTTTTCTCCTCCTTTTTCTGTCTTCTTCTTTGGTCACTGGGCTGTGCAATGCAAAGGAGGACCATTCACTCGCTCAAACACAGGGTTACAACTTACAAGTCCAACAGAGTCTTGAGCTCAAGTTTGATTGTCGAGTTTGAACTCGAGCGTTAGCATAAAACGAACCCACAAAAAAGTGTTCAAGCTTGTCAATTTCGAGCTGTTTTTTTAATCAATTTTGGCCTCATTGACCTCAACCTCTAGTTTGAGATAAAGATTCTTAAGGAGAAAAAAAAAAAAAAAAAAAAAAACTACAAATTTAAACAATTCTTCATAAATGAGTCTTATCGAGATCATTCACCTAATTTTATTAAGGTAATGTACATTTCATGTTGGAACCAACTATTAATTAGTTATATCTATAATTTATAATAACACTCTATAGTGTTATTAAGCAAAATCAATTTTCATCAAAACTAAACAAAAATTAATCGTTTTACTACGTATTTAACAAAGGCTGACCAGCTTAACTGGGTTATGGACGAGTTGCACCAAATCAACTTAAATCCCCATTAAAATCTAAAAATATTTTGACGCAGCTGGGCTTTCATTAACAGCATTGATCAATTAAGTGTCATTGTTAAAGAATAAAATTAATTGATTATCATTATCATTGAATATCTAGGCCTTTGCACCCATTTTGGTTCTGAAACGGATGGCCTTGATTTGGCTGTGTAAAATCTTATGGAAATGATTCCTGAGAAAGATGTTGAGAAAATTTTGAATTTTTCTAAGTGTTTCTGGCTGTTTATCATCCTAAAGATTGATATCACCATGTTTTTCCAAGTGTTAGTTATGGTTATTTCTCAAAAATTACTTATGTACTAACTACTAAGTATAGATATTTTCCTCTAATTTTCCGGCTTCTTCTTTCTACCATCTATATTCTATTTCTCTACTCTTATCTCTATAGTCTCTATTTATATTTATCTAAGTTTAGTAATTAGGATGCTGGGAAATCACTCATGCTCAGTCCCATACTGTCACTTATCTTTATTGCGTCCCTCTTCCTCCTTTGTGAATGACATTTTGAAGACACATTCTAACAAAAACAAGTCACTTCTCAGTTCCCACAATCCACTATAGCTCTCAAAATCATGCTACTATCCTCAATAGTTGGAACCCATTAACTACTTAATCACGATATATGGGTTTGTTTGGTTTGTCACTCAAAAAATAGTTCTCGAAAACTAAAAAAATAAAAAATTATTTTCAGAAAATTATAAAAGAAAGTGACTTGAAAATTGGTTTTTATAATTGAACTCTCAGAAACTAGTTCTCAGAAACCGTCAACCAAACAGGTTTTTGTACAGTTCTCGATTCTGAGAAAACCGAACCAAGCAAACCCTATAACTTGTCAGCATCAAAATTAGTTTAAAATTGCCCTTCAATTATTCGTAGAACAACATCAAGATTCCCAATTTGAGTATTGAGTATGCATAAATATACATATATGTATGAGTCTAATATAAAAATAAATAAAAAAAATAACAAATAAAGAAATGGATGTGTCTAAACAGAGAACAGAAATGGGAGAAAAGGAGCAGACCTTGACCGTATTGAAGCGACGACTGGTGATAACAGACGCAACACCGGTGAGAGGACCCAAAGGGTTTAAGGTAACCCTTTTTCAGCATCAAATTGGAACTGTGTTGTTTCCAAGTTACATGGGTTTTTAACTCAGACACTTGTGTGGTAATTTATCACAATCTCTCTTGCACAGGCTCGAATAACTACTTTTTTATGATTTACATGGATTTTATAGAGATTACTCCTTCTCTGGATGTGCGATGAGTTGGAGTGAGCTAGAGAGAGAGAGATGAGAGAGAACATGGTTCGACGCAGAGAGAGAAGAGACAGAGGTGGTACAGGGGTAGTGGAGGAGGTTTATAAAGGCTAACCAAAACGGCGACATTTTTTGTAATGTCCTTTTGACACTCACAGAATAGTTATAGAGACTCGTAAAAATAAAGACAATTCACTAAAAGGAAGAATTTTTATTTAATTTTTTTCCTTTTAATTTGAATTTTCAAAAAACAGTTTTAAATAAACATCAATCAAACAAATTTTTGTTGCAATTTTTTAATTTTTGAATACCTACTGCCCATAGTTACCGATGAGTTTTATTTTTTTTAAATCAATGGTGCTCAAACATTGACTTAAAATCACACTATTAATTTTATATCAAAATACGTTATGATACTCTAATCAAACTTTTATTATTTAAAAAAAAAATTTATATTTAAGTAAAATGTTTTGTAAGATTGAGAAACAAAATGTCTTAGTTAAAAAGGCCACTTAAAGGTTTTTTTTTTTTTTTTTTTTTTTTTTTGAATACTATTAATATTAACAGATAAAGCAAAAAAATTATTTGATGTTTTTTACTGACCTTTTGGACAACATAATATTATTCAAATCACAACTAAAGTTACAAAATATTTTGGTAACACCACCGTGGCACTAAAAATTTAATTTTAACAAATAAGCCTTTGGGTTTGAGTCCAAATCATTATTGATTTACTGTAAGGTGGACATTTGAACACGTGAACAATCATAATTGTTTGGTGAGCACAATACTGTACCAAATTTATTCATAACTTGTGTTTGAAGCACAGAGTGTTTTAAATTTAGAATTAGAAAAAAATTAATTTAAAATTTTAATAATTTTTTAAATTAAAATCTTCCAAACATAGCCAGTCAAATTCAATATAAAACTTGCATTACTCTTTAGTTAATTTGTTTTAATTATAAACCATTTTGACATCGATTTTTTTTTTTCCCCGAAATACTTCCTCACAAATTTTTAAATAAAAATAAATAAAAAGTTGAGAATTCAAGTATCGGTGAAAGTGTAATTTGTGTGCGTAATTTGCTGTGACGAAAAAGAAAAAAAAACAAAAAAGAAAAAAGAAAAAAAAGAAAGGAGTCAAATTGACTGGTGTCTGATGGGAGAGATATATGACTAGAAATGTCTTCAAAACTGCGTCCAACTTTGAAGGGAAAAAAATTTATATATATATATATATATATATTTGGATTATAGACCATTACAAACCCGATTCAATACCCCCACAGCTTTCTCGGGTCCTCTGAAGTCTGCTCCATCTTTCTGACACTCTCTCTCTCCTTTTCTTTCTCTCTCTACACAGATTCTCACCCGTACGATGCCTTCCCGGAGAAGAACGCTTTTGAAGGTCATAATCCTCGGGGACAGCGGGTGAGTGATATATATATATATATATATATATACACACAAAAACAATCAAGAACATATATATATGTGTGTGTGAGTGAGCGCAAGCTGGTTTTGATCTTCAATTCTAGGGTTTTTGCCATCGCTTTTTGTGATCTTCAATGAATTTGGTTTAGTCGATGTTGATCTAATCATTGATCTCTCTCTATACACATAGACTATTGCACAATTATTATGTATGGACATTGTTTAGAATATTGCAGTCTGTTGAGTATGAGCTGTTCGCTTTGTCTGTGATGTGCAGGGTGGGAAAGACCTCTTTGATGAATCAGTATCTTTCGAAATTTGTTTAGTGGTTCATTTACTGGAAATTAATGTTCCATGTTCACTGAAAAAGAAAAGAAAATTTGAATTCTGTGATTTTTTCTGTATAAAACGATTTCTCTGGTTCTGGTGTTGTTTGCCTTGAATATTTGATTTTAGATATGTAAATAAGAAATTTAGCAACCAATACAAGGCGACTATTGGAGCTGATTTCTTGACAAAGGAAGTGCAGTTTGAAGATAGGCTCTTTACTTTGCAGGTTAGTGGTAATGCTTATTTTTTATTTATTTATTTTTATTTTTATCAAGATTTGTAGTCGAGTGTGTATGTGCACGCACATTTGCTTTGATTTTTAGTGTTGAGGAACTTTGATTTACTATGTTCTGTTGCCTGTTGATGGAATAATGCCAAAAAATAAAAATGGCACATTGGGAAAAAAAAGAAAGAAAAATTGATACAATCAAATTTTTATTTAGATAGATTTAGGATATTGTTTCGGTGGTCTTCTTGGTATAGGTGCTATTCCAGGTCGACGTTGAACATTTTGTAATGATATGCAATTGAAATCATTTTGTAATTTTGCTTTATCCCCAAATTCAGCTTTGCTGCAAATTCCTTAATGGAAAGTATCCAATTTGTGTAATAACTGTTGCATAATTGCTATTGAAAAGTGATGGTTAACCATAGTTTGCTCAGCATCAACTGAATTTTTGTGAGATTGTGGTTATTTTGGTATGACTGAACTACATAATTGGGATGCGCCTTCCTCTCATCGTTAACTGCTACCTCCTATACCAGGTCTCTCATACAGTTATCTCAACAATTTATTTGCTAGGCTACTTGGCTATGTTGATTGTTTAGTGCTCATTTTTTGAAATATGAGGCAATAAAGCTAGTTCTTTATTTTTTAATTTTTTATGGTTAACACTATACACTTAAGATTGAAAGCCATTGGAAGTTCATTACGTGGTTTAGGCAGGTTCCCCTCTTGTGGTGACTGTTCACATGATTTGCTAGAAATATCAACTGATATTCCTCCAATTGCAAGTGATACCTTTTATTATTGGTTGAGGCGCTTATGCTATTGTATGCTTGGAAGAGGCATACCTTACCATTTCTCTCAATCAGAAATTTTTGTTGCCTCTCCAGTCCCTTCTTAGTTGTAGCATAAACCTTAATTCTAGCTTTTTTTATTGCAGTGGAGTTGTTTGGCTTCCACTTCTTTCATTAGACTTCTAAGGTTTTTTTTTTTTAGGTTTCTTAAACACTTGTTAACTGACTGAGTTGTTGCAATCTAAGCTGATCTTTTATTTTGCCAGATCTGGGATACAGCAGGCCAAGAAAGATTTCAAAGCCTAGGTGTTGCTTTCTATCGTGGTGCTGATTGCTGTGTTCTTGTATATGATGTTAATGTGATGAAGTCATTTGACAATCTAAACAATTGGAGGGAAGAGTTCCTTATACAGGTATTATTTATTTTTTTTGTTAGGAATTCGTGATTTTGCCCAAAAGAGGATCTACATTATCTTAGTCTTTGTTTTCGTCTATCTGTTGTTTGATTTTATCTTCATGGTGAAAATTCACATCTTCTTTCTTGTAGGAGTTTTGTTTTTGTTCTTTTATTTTTATATTTTTCATTTTTCCTTTTTCCTTTCATCAAGTATACTGCTCTGCAAAGAGCTGGATGGAAAAAGGAGGTTTCCTAGGCCAACCCAAATTGGGATTTTCTGTTGAGTTGAGTTCCTGTTTTGCTTTTCATCCCTGTCAACAATTATTTAATGCACTGGTACATGAAGTCTAATTTATTCCTCCCCCCCCCCCCCCCCCCCCCCCCTAAATGCACTGATTAAGAAATTGCTCAGTTGTGTGTGAAGTTAATATTATAAATGGAACGATAACGTGGAATATGCCAGTGATTGATTTAAGAATTTTCATGCAGGCCAGCCCTTCAGATCCAGAAAATTTCCCATTTGTTGTTCTGGGAAACAAGGTTGATGTGGATGGTGGAAACAGTAGAGTGGTAATAATTTACTTTGATTTTTTGTTATAATTAATTAATTACCTTTTGAAATGATATGATTTTCTTTTGCTGTTGATATTGACTTGCTTCTTTTTTTGAATGGCTACAGGTTTCTGAGAAGAAGGCACGGGCTTGGTGTGCCTCAAAAGGGAATATTCCATACTTTGAGACCTCTGCCAAGGAGGGTGTCAATGTGGAAGAAGCCTTCCAGCTCATTGCAAAGAATGCCCTTAAGAGTGGGGAGGAAGAAGAATTGTAAGTTGGAACAAGCAAACCATTCTTAGCATGCATGGACATTATAAATTCCCACTACTTTTTTGTATAGTTAAGGAACATACAACTATACGGAGGCTAGATGATTAAAAGGCTCTGGTTGGCATTAGAGGGATACATAAAAGGTATTCGGGCTCCTTAGCCCGCTTCGAAGTTGAGGTTCTTATGTGTGGTCAGAAGTGCATGGAGAGATTCTCATTGTTCTTCCTAAATGGTGTTGTGTGTGTAAGCAGGTGGGATATTTTGTGGATTGCATGTTGATTTGTTGTGCCGTTGTAAAAGGTGATGTGGGTTCGGTTTTGGCCTTGTTTGGAGAGGCTCGGGTGCCAGATCATGGCATATATTTATTGTTGGAATTTTGACAGGATTAATAGGAGAGAAAAAACAGGACTTTGATTCCTGCCCCTTTATGTTTAATGTGATGGATTAGGGAGAGTAATAGGGAGGCTTCTTGGAGGTGATCCATAAGTGTGAAAGCAATTTTTTTGGTGTTTTGTTTAGCTGGGTAACGAGAGGTTTGGCCTTCTCTAGAAATTTTACAACTTTTTTGAAACGCTAGATTCTGCTAGGAATATGAGTCACTTGTTGGCAATTACTTGCTCAAAACTTAGGTTGTAATATATTACTTTCACAAGTCATTTGAGTACAACCGTCAACGATAATGGAGACAGATTTTGCAAAAACACGCCCAAAATATGTATGCTCAATCACATATCTAAGGCACAGGTAAGTAGACCTTAGAAAGACCTTAAGTGACCTAGATTTAATCTTAGAGAGGGTGAAAATACTTATTTAAATGTGTTCTTTAAATAAGTTTTTCAAATTCATGATTTCTAAACGAGTTTTAAACTTATGTTTTTACTGAAAGACACTGTACGTTGATCAGTGGGCTGATCGACGAGTGCTCTTCAGTAAGCCTCGATTGACATGTGGATTGACCAAAACTTTTCTAGAAAATTATATTTTAACAGTATTCCACAATTGAAGACTCAATCGGTTGAGGGAACTCGAGTGTGCTGAGATTGATAACTTGATTAATTGAATCCTGCGCTTTTTGGTAACCCTCTCAAAATAGGTTTCTAAAAGGATTTAACTTATGAGTTTAAGTCAGTTTAGAAAATTATCTTTTCGAATCTGCAGGCATTGTCTATTCGAATCTACAGGCATTGTATATTCAAGTCTGTAAGTATTGTAGAGAGAATCCTTATTTTAGAGAGAAAAATCCTTCTCTACTCGATCTATTTCCCTTGAATACAATTATATGTGATTGAGTCATTAATTACAAGGAGATCATCAGACAAGTGACGAAGAACAAGTCAACCGATCAAAGCATAGAGCAGAAGGATTAAACAACCATGGAGATGCGGATGGCATGAGGAGAAATGTTATTGATGGAGCGGACTAGGGGCTGAAGACTTGGTGTGAATTTGGCTATGGTCTGTGTCAAGAGGTTACTTGGGGTTCTAGGGTGTGGGAATTGTTAACCTGGTTGCAACCTTTTTCGCATACAGTGGATTGTTCATAGCTGGATTAGGTCCCTTGGATTTCCTCTCTAACATTTTTCATGTAAATCTTTTCTGTCCCCTGCTCTTGTGACTTACATTTGTGGGAATGAAATTGATCAGTAAACCTAACTAGTACAACTGAAATTTACATCACAGTCAACAATACTTTAAAAAGAATAACAATGACTGCTGACTGGTTCCACTCAGCATTAGAAACATCCCGTCTCTTATCCTATCAGATGATCCTAACAAGTATCAGATACAAAATTATTATTTTTTTATTTCCTTAGAAAACATTTCATCTCCTTCTTTCAGACTGCTGTCATTTGATGACTAATTATTTCCTCTATAGAGATTTGTTTGTTGGGACGTCTAATCTCAATGAATGTAGTTCAGATGGATGAAAATAGTCAATATTGCTGCTAAAGTCACATGGAGCTTCTTAATTACTAATTTGGCTTAAATATTTCAAGTTCTTAAATACAATCTACTAGAATGTATTATTTTCCTTTTGACCCTGTGCATCTATATATATGTCTATATGTGTGTGTGTGTGTGTGTGTGTCTAAAATATCTTTTCTAAGGAATTAGTAAATCACTGACCATAACTTTACTGGAAGATTATTTTAGCAACTATTTACACTCTACAAATATAAAGATTTGCATAGGATAAAAATCAATATCTAGGTTCTCTTAAACAAGTATATTTGGTGCCGCAGAATGTTTTTGTGTTCGTGCTCAATATTTTCATGGCAGTATGCTCATTTTGTGCCCAAATATTATGGAAAGAATTCCGTTTTAAGTACTTCCCTATGTTATTTGGTATCATGCAATTAGCAAGTGAATGTAATTGCAAATTCTGTTGGATATTACTGTCTTAACCTTTCAGAATATTGCAGCGCCAATTGATACTAACACCACTCTTTATATTGTCATTTTCTGGTGGGAATTTTTAATGGCATGAAGATACTTTCCGGACACCATTGATGTTGCAAACAGCAGTCAGCAGAGATCCACTGGATGTTGCTAAACATATCATATATTCTTTTGAGCAATAACAAATATCTGCAGAGGCGCGACACAAGCAATATGGCTGCAATTTGTCATTTCTATTTGTTTGTAAGATACTACATCTGAATGTCAGTAGTGTCTACATGAGTAGTGTCTTTGAAGTGGTTGAGCTTGATTGTATGGTTGCTTTTTGTAAGTACTGCTTTTGATCCGATAAATTGCATTTGCATTTGATTTAGCCCCAGGCACAATTCGATTGTTGTTGAAAGTTAAACTAGATTGTATGCTTCCGTATTGTAGCTACTGGTTGATCTCTGATAAAGTTGCATTTGATTTAAACCCAAGGCATTAATTGGTTAGTGCTCTCCATGTTCGCTCATTGCTTCCCATTATCAAACCTTTTGAGGGCATGGTAAAGTTGCGAAGTCAGGTTGGAGGTGATTTGTGCATGGAAAATTTCAGCATTAACATGCTAGCCAACAATTTAATTTTTATTTTTATTTTTTTGGCCTTCCTGTGAAATGAAATAATAAGAGAACAATTTTTATGCACATGTGCTATGGAGATGGAGGCGAGTGGGAGCCATTCTCACTACCAATGTGGTACAATGATAAAATGAAGTGTATTCATTTTGAATTTAAAACATGCAAAAATAAGTCTTAATTTTCTCTTAAATTTAAAATTTAAAATACATATGTATCATTGAATTTAGTAGGCAAGTACTGTTCTTCTGTTTGGTTAATTAAATGTACATTCTTTTTTTCTCTTCTTTAATTATTTGTTTTAACAAATGTAAATTGTGTCTTCTTTATTTATTATTATTTTTATTCTCCTCGCATAAATTTTGAGGCCTCACACGAGGTCACAAAGCAGCCAAAAAGTCAAACTCATAGTAGTGTTTACAATCATGGGTTGCTTCCATCTAAAGAACTTGTCCCGATGGAGCCCTAAAAAATTCACTTCAATAAGCATTAAGATCCTCCAAATACTTTGCATGACCAGTTAATCACAAACATTTATTTTATATGCCTGACCAAGGTGACCCAGCTTCATTTGGAATAATTGTTTAGTCCTGCCAATTTTTTTCAATTTAACTGTCAACTTTGGAACGCCAAAACATTCATCAAATATATTGTACAATTCAGTTCCCCAATTTTCAGAAGAAATGGAGTGGAAAATTAACAAATAAAGGCCAAATGTCCTGTTAGAATCTACTACTATCAAATTCAGCAAAAAGACATACAATTTCTGTTCACCTAGACATGCATAAAGCATCTGAATATTCAAACCATTGATGAACCAGAGTAGCGGCGAAATCAACTTTAACACTAACTATCTATATGCATCTGTAGCCCCAATTTAATTTCTTACATCTTGAGGCAGCAAATAATACTAATACAGAAAACAGAGCATTGAATTGCACAGATTTTGGTGAGAGGTTGCGAGAGATACAGAGTTTCGCACAGATATCGTTTCAGCCAACAACAAATACCTTCTCGATGGCTCAGAAAATGGTCAGACATCATCTGTAACCCAAGCCATGAGTTGCAAAATTTGGCCTTCCCTGACTATTCATCACCTTAAAAAAGTGGCTTCTGCGAGGAGGGCTCCAATCAGATGCCAACCGCATTTGCTGGTATAGATCGTCAGTCTTTAGGTGCCACATACGAAGAAAATGCTTTCACCTGTGATCTTCAGGACTTAATCCAAGATGTGTCTGTATAAAGTAGCAGAGACCAAAGTAAAGAAGCTAAGCTCTTGATTAATCATTAAGAACAAAAAAGGAAAAATAACTTTCTATTACCCTGAAGGAAAAAAAGGTCAACCATCCTTTCCTTAAAATTAGGGACCAAAAAAAAAAAAAGGCAACGGGCAAAATTTTAATCACATATACCCTATACAAAAAAGAAGAGCCTTTATTTTTGCTGGGTATTTTGATGCCAGGGTAAAGACAGGGAGGGGCCTTTCCAAATTCTGTGCAATTGTAAATAAATATGTGATTAGTCTACAAGGAAAAAAAAATGACCCACGTCCAAATGGCATGTAACCAAAGTGCAGTGATTTAATTTTGACTAAAGATGTAGAATTCCCCAAGTTGATACACATGATGATCAAACAGAACCATAAGATAAATGCATCTTATACCAGTACCATATGCTTGGTCCCCAAATAACTGGTTCAGCACCCAGCACCTGAACGTTTCCACTTGTAGCCCAAGAGATTTACAAATTCGAAAGGTAAAAAAAATGAATAAGTTCTATATAGATATACCTTATATATAGCCATGTATTTCACCATCCCAAGAATAAGAATTTTGGGTGCACAGGACTTTTTCAACAATAACTGACATTTAACCTACAAGATGCATGTGAAAATGAAAAACCAATTCTTTCAGGCTATAATGCCAAATGGGTTCAAGCTCATCAGAAAGGAATCCATCTTTTTAGTTCTTTCACCAACATAGTTTTATTGTCTTAACTTCTTGTGTGAAACCAGCTTTTCTTTCCTTGTCAACAATTACAACTTAAGCAAATTGGACCAAGTTGTATTCAGCTGGCTGATTTTTTAAGTTTCCCAAACAGCACTTTAAGGGCTACTTCCAACTTCAGAAACAATGATACTAACCATTATAATAAACGATACTCACCTGGTAAAATTAATTGCGAAGCACCACTGTAAAAGCATCAATGAGGTTGTACATGTTCTCAACTAAAGATCACTTCATTCCAATTGATGAAAGTTTGTCCTGATTTGAAGGCCGAACTGAATTTGCCGCCGTTGCAGCAGGAACAAATGGATTTAGAGTGGGAGGACCTGATGTCATTATAGGCCTTGAAACTGGTGGCCTTTGAGAGGTCATGCTCATTGGGGGTCTTGGTGCTGCATTAGCAAAACCCATTGCAACTCTGTTGATGGGTAAAGATTGTTGCATGGGTCTGGACGAGGAAGCTGGTAAGCCAAGTCTAGTTGCGATTATCTGTGCCCGCTCATGGTACAGCCTCTGCCTAGACCTGTCCAATTGTTCCCTTCCCCTCATTACCAGATTTTCCATTTCAGAAAAGAAAGCCAACTTGTTCTCCAACTTGAGCAACTGCAATAAATGCAAACTTCTGAAAACATGACTCCTAAAACCAACAAGAGACTTGAACGATCAAAGCCTGGTTGACTATGAAAATACCTGCTTTTCGATCAACAATGTAGCAAGTTGTCGAATTTGATCTTCTTCTTGGTTTGCAAGAATCTTCGCCTTTACTGCAGCAGCGGAGATTGCACTAACTGCAGCACGCTTTATCTTATCAATACCGTGATCATTTTTGGTCTCCGAAGGGTCTTCATTTGCATTCTTACTGTCCGAAGGGTCTTCATTTGCATTCTTATTGTCCGAAGGATCTTCATTTGCATTCTTACGGTCCGAAGGGTCTTCATTTGCATTTTCACTTTTAGAAGGGTCTGCATTTGCATTCTTACTTTCCAAAGGGTCTAAATTTGCATTCTTATTGTTCGGAGGGTCTTCTTTTGCATTCTTACTGTCCGAAGGGTCTTCATTTGCATTCTTACTGTCTTTTGCTTCTTCCTCGCCTGCACCAAATAAAAATTAATGAGTCAAGCAGAAAGAGAAGGCATTACCCGCACCCCAACACACAAATAACAAGTGACAAACTCCAAATTTATCTCAGTTGTCTGTGTATAACTAAAATTCACAAATGTGCATGCATTTTACCATTATTCCGAAAATCCACACTTCCAGCCAATAATGATTAAAACTCTTCAACGAGCCGAATTATTCTCCTTTTATTACATAATTCAAAACCATTTACAAGAAAATGTTTCATAGCTAGAAGAAACATCTGAAAACAAAACCTGTGATTGCTCCACTGTCAACCATTGAATTTGATGTCACCAGTTCCTTGGGCTCTTCGTTTTCCAAGGGTACTGCATCTGCATCCTTTGGAGCCTCTGCACATGGAGAGGACCTACCCCCTGAAGCTTCCGACTCCTTTACAGAACTTGGAAGCAGCTCATCCTTGGATATTAAATCATTCGATTCTTCCATAGCACTCAGTGCCTGGTCTTTTGACAAATCCACATTATCTGTTTCATTCAAAGGAACAGGTGCAACATCCTCACTAGTATCTACTATATTGGGTTCTTTTACAGCATGGTCATCGTCTATACATTCGCCACTAGGGGAAACCAACTGTCCGTTTTCTTCTGTTACAGAATCCTTATCTTTTTCATGGTTGTTATCATTTGACATATCACAGCCATCCAAAACTGAGTCAGACTTTTTCTCTTTCTGCTTTCCATCATTCTGGTTATCATCTTCCTCAGCATCCTGCTGCTCAACCATTTGCACGACAGATCTGAATATAATATATTTTTACGTCAGACACATCAACGTTGATGAACTCTTGCAACTTTAAACTACATATAACTGAACAAACCTCTCAGAATCAACTGATTTTTTCTTGTCCTCAGGTGGATCTTCCAGAAGAAAACAGTGCCTTGCAGCCAGATGCATGCCAGAGGAATTGCTAGAAATGGTTTTTAAAGAATTACGGGTTGAGGCAGTAGCAACACTAGGGTCCACCAATCCTACCAGGAATGCTGCCTGCAGAAGAGAGGAGATCAACATGTAGCACATCAAAGATGCAAGAAAGTTTCATGGGTGTTCAACACTAACTTCGAAGAATAATAACCAGATTTAGGAATTCATATAAAAGTGTAGAGTAAGAATTTATTTAGCATGTCTTTTGACCATGGACATTGTCAGGGAACAAAATCATCCAATCATGCTATACCAAGGAAAAAAGAGAGTTCCTTTTCATAAGTTTAAAATGCAACTTCAATTAACTGATTGTATATCATTTTTCACGAACTTAGAATCCAACTAACCAACGCCATGACAGGGTTTGCAGCTTCAGCAAATGATAGCTGATCTCCAACCGTAGGAAAAGAACCCACAGCTTCAAATGCTTCTGTGAGTGCCTTGAGTGCAAAGTTCTCACTAGTTTCCTTACTAACTTCCAGTTCAGCATCTTCTGACTTTGAAATATCCATTGGGGAGGACAGCATCTGATTTTCATTTGCAACAACTTTACTCTCTGTTGTTTCAAGCGCATCTTTAGGAGCCAAAGAATCATTATTGGTTGAAACTGGATCAGCATTTTCTTTGGAACTTGCATCAATTTCATCATCACAGTCCAGAAAAGTATCCTCAATTGGCATTTGAACAAAGTGCAAGATACATTGAGCTTTGGTTTTTGTGGCAACATGCTCAGCAATCTCATTCCAGTTTTCTTTATAAAGTTCCAATGCTTCAAGGAGGAGGAGGGTTTCCTGATCTGTCCACTTTCCACCACTTACACCAGGAACCTCAGCAGGCTCCATAAGAATGAAATCCGATGGAGACATATCAGAGCCAAACTTCCCATTATTGAAGCACTCAGTACATAAATCAAAATCTGCCTGTGTAACACGAGCAAAATTAGCAAAAAGAGTACACTTCAATGAGAAACTAAGATTAGGGGAAAACATATCAATGTATAATCAAATTCAAGCCCAACACTTCCTTAAATGAACATTTATTCAACACAAAACATGCAAAAAGTTTATGTAAGTGACAGACAATTGCTTTATCCATGTTTTACAAGCCCTGCAGAATGATTCATCATACCTTTCTTCCCCTCGCCTTTTCAGTTTATGCTAGTATAATCTACAGGAATTCTTTATTAACAGAAATAAAAATAAAAATAAAATGCTTCTTGTGTAATGAGTAGTCAGCTTCAGGGTTAAGTCATATGGCAGAAGCATATACTTTAAGATGGCAGATACAATATAACAAGCCAGTGCAACTAAGTAAGAGTTGGAGATAGAGTAGGTAAAAACTCATCTCGAGGCTTCACATATTCAAAAATCGTGCGTAACTGCACGCAACACTCATTGTGCATTTTTTTCATAGATATTGAACACTGTACTGTAAAATACAGATTGTGAAAGAAATTTGCTGACTTTATAAACTTGCAAGACAATCCTTGTAGAAAAAATATATGAAATTCAAATATAATGATCTCAAAGGACAAATATTTGTGAAGTATTCCTCATTATTCCCTCACTTCCTCCAACTTTCCTTTAACACCTGTGCAGATTATACCAGGCAGTGTAGCAGCTTTTTAAACAATGTTCATTGTTCTTCAAAGAAAAGGGTCAACAACAGAGAAGGGTGTCAGAGAGGGAGCAATAAAATCTACATAACAAACAAATCACATTACACAAATAACTTGTCTTTGGAATAAGTTTTGGCCAGTGCAACAAGGACAATGCTATTCAAGCATCAAATGTCCGACACTTCAGCGTGTGAGGCATGTTCCAGCCACCAGGATATGTCATTCAGATCTCAAGATTGCCATTGACATCTTAATCCTTGTCAAAGGTCCACATTTTTGCCAGAGTCCTACTTGGACTTTTTCTAATCAATACTCAAGGTGCAAATATTTGATAATGATGCATCATAAAAAAGAAAGCATTACTGTAAAATTATAAATATAGGCAGTATATTTTATTGAATCATAGGTCGCAGTGTCTTTTCTTACAGACCTATCCAACATTTGATTTACCTTGTCCATCTAGTGCCTTCAGACCTTAACTTGGACTATATCACTTCAGCTCGGTGCTCCACATAGCCTCAATTGACTTGTAGTTGTCTCTGTGTGTTCACTGGAGACAGTATCCTTGAATCTCTTGGAACAAATCTATTCAGTATCCTTATTTAACCCAGAGTATGGATGTCCCTTTAGAGCCAGTTATTTGATACCATACACCATGACCATCCTTGTACAGTTAACCTTCTTAAAAGATTTATCCTACATTACAGCAAGCTTTTGTCAATCAGAATAGCTCCAATATATCCAAAAGCTTTTCATGGAATATCTCTTTATTGCCAGAGATTTGATACCACCATAAACCATGACTATCCTTGTACAATTATACCTATCTTATAAGATTTCTCATTTATAACAGCAACTTATTTTGTCAATCAAGAAGGCTTCAATAATATATCCAAAAGTTTTTTAAACCTTCTCGTCCTTGATGCCCAATTGTAAGAAACCAAATAATATCACTCTTAATTATCCATTGATGTTTTACTTTCAACTAATCCTTCATGTTTATTACAAAAATTAATTCCACATATACTGTCTTAAGTTTGATAGCACTAGTACCACCTTCTAATTTAGTGTTTTATCCCACATTTTTCTTATCAACTTAATCTGTGCCATCAGCTAAATGCATAGACCATGAGATCTACCTTGTATACCCCTTTCAAAATGTTTCATTAATTGAAAGACCTGACGTTAATTACTGAACTTTCAACGAAAGCCAATAAAAACAGGATTTTTTCTTTTTCTTTTTTTGTTCCCTCCTTCCATTGTTTTCTCGACAACCTCATAAATAAAGTACTACAGAGTAACAGATAGTTCATTCCTATTAGCCACTAGATATCACAACTTCAGACTTACATTACATTCATACAGCTTTGTTGCCATGTAATATTTTAATATAACCAAGAAACACATCACACCTTTGTCACCACCATTGTTCAAAGGTAGCAATTGATCATGCCAAGCAGTATGACAATCAACAGCCAGAAAGTCTAGTTCAATTTCTCAACTGCCAACCACAGTAGGCTACATGTCTAGGCTTACAAAACCCACATTCTTAAATTCCATGCACCCTAATACCTTTCTGCATATACTAAACTTAATCACTAAACTCGCTTTAACATATGACAGGTCCCAAGGCTTACCTGTAATCACCAACTGCAACTATGCTGCTTTTACCAATATGGCTAGCTCGAATCATTTTCAACAGTTAACCTGATACTATATCGTACTAAAACTCCTCTTAAAGTATGTTAAAGCATGCATAATAACATGCAAATTCTCCATGCCACATGTAGTGCTATTTCTGGAAGAAGTTCTTCAATACTTCAATGTTTATGTTTCCATAGCACTAGACTATAACCATCCATTCCACTTTGAAAAAGTTGGTTTTAACAATTAAAATATAAGTTTGGAAAAAGGAGAGGGAGTCATATAATGGGGAAATGGTTTCGCACTTGAATGTTCCTAAACCACAATAGAAACTGAAGAACTTAACAATAAAGCCTAATTGCTTGGAGTTGGCTATATCATTACAAAAACTGAAGAACATAATAATAAAGCATAATTGCTTGGAGTTGGCTATATCATTACAAGGATGTAAGGAATTATATCACATTGAAACATCAGAAAATTAAAATATTATTAACTTCTTAAAGTACCAGCAATAATTTCACAACAAAAACAAAAGAAGCTAATAGCATATTTAAAAAAGAAAACAAACAACTCTGAGAACCTGCTTTCAATCTTCCTGTGTTCCTTTGATTTCAGGAAGATTGAAAGCAGATGATTGTAAAGAGCTAGTCAATAAGGTTAATAAGAGTAGAGCTAGAATTCAGTTTTGGAGTAGCAAAATTTCTCTCATTTGCAGGCAGAATACAATTGATTTCAGCAGTGCTTTTCTCAATACAAGTCTACCGGGCTTCTGTTTTTATCCTCCCAAAAAAGGAAATTAAAATGGTGAATGACATTCTGATAAAAGTTTTTATGGAAGGATTCAGATCTTGAATCTGGGGGAAACAAAGAAGCATGGGATCAAGTCTGTTTACTTAAGGAATAAGGAGGATTGGGGATCAAGAATATGGAAGATTGGAACAAAGCAGCCATGATGAAACACATATGGAACTTGATGCAGCCAAATTCTGATTGCCTATGGGTTGTTTGGGTAAGGAAATACCTGTTAAAGAGGAAGAACTTGGCAGTTGGCTTCTTCTCAGAACGGTACCCAGTGTCAGAAGCAGATCCTAAAGCTGAGAGATGTAATGAAGGTGATTTTAAATCTCAGGTGGGAAATGAAAAGAGTATCTCACTGTGGAGTGATTACTGGTTACCATTTGGCTCAATTCTAGATTATTATGGCCAGAGAATTATTGATGATTCTGGTCTAACTTAGAAGGCTGTGGTTGCAGATGTTATTGCTTGGAATAGATGGATTTGGCCTACTGTAAATACATGGGAGTTTATGGAAATAAGAGAACTGACAGTGAACTGGCATCTTAACAGTGAAACAGAGGATTCTGTTGTACTGTCATCATCTAAGGGTGCATTCTCTAATTAATCTACCTGGGATAAATACAGACATAGAGGTCTGCAAATTTCATGGTATGAGGTTATCTGGTTCAAGAACCACATACCCAAACATGTTTTCATAACATGACTATCTATTAAAAATAGACTGCTCACAAACAAAGAATGATGCAGATGGAATTGGTCAGTAGAGCTCAGTGTGTCCTATGTAAAAATTGTATTGAGGACAGGAACCATCTATATTTTGAATGTGAGTTCTCCAACAGGATATGGAATTACATTTCAGATAAGGGTGCGATACAATGGCCTAGTTTCCCTTGGAGTTATCTGATTGAATGGGTTAACTTAGCTTTAAAGGGTCAATATTTTCTTGCTATGTTGAATAAGATGGCCTTCTCAGCTACTATATGGCTGCTTCGGAGAGAGAGGAACAAAAGGATCTATAAAAATGAATACAGGGATTTGCAATCTATCCAGAAAGACATAATCAATGATGTTAAGTACAGAGTTATGGGGCTGCAGAACGTTGTGTTTTCTCAAACCAATAGGTGTTTATGTCAAGAATGGAACATACCTGATATTGCAAAATGTTATGCAAGCTAAAATGCTTGAAGCCAGATTGTTATGTCAATTTATATGTATCTGGTTGATCATGGTTGTTAAGAAATGCAATCTGATTTTGTTGGGTAATCCTGTTCTGTTTTCAGTCAGGCATTTGCTGTGTGCTGACATTAAAGTTGATACACTGTTATAGACCTGAGGAGTGTTGCTGCTGCTATCGTTACTCTTGGTGCTGCATTGACTGTGTTTATTTTTGCCGTAGTTTTTGTTGTAATTGCTGGAACTTTGCTGTTAGTGATTTGGTGTTATTTCTTTTTGCCTACTTGAACGACTGTTGCAATTATTGTTGGGTCCTAGAGCTTTTCCATGTTCTCTTTCTGGATCATGGATGTTGTAGGGGCATTGGTGATAAGTTTCAGGAGTTTTCTGGTTAGTTTGCACTATACCTTTATTTATTTTTTTTTTTTGATAAGTAAAAAAAAGGGTTAGAAGTTACACATTAGTTGATGTAGAGAGTCATTGGTTAGTTTGCACTATGTTACCCTGTTGTATTCTTGGTTTATCTTTCTGTTCCTTAGGGTTTGGTGGATTTGGGATTTTCATATTGTATTTGTTTCTTGGGGTATACCCAAAGTATGGATGTAAGGCTATAGCCTATTTTGTGGAATGATATACCAGTATACCACTGCTTACCTATCCACAAAAAAAAAAAAAAAAAAAAAAAAACAAAACAAATCGGAACCTTTTTATTAATCATATTTTGCTACAGATTAACAAAAACACTAATAATTGAGGGAATTCCTTTTCATTTGTTAGTGCAGCTTCCCTTCTACATTTTGTAACTTTCTTTGTAATTGTCTATTCTCTTATAGTAAAATCAAGATTTATCTGTGACTCCCTATAGTTGCATGATGTATCTCTGACTGATGAATTCATAAATTGCATACTAGTTCTCCAATTTTGCTAATTTTATCCATCAGATAATCATATATATTATACACATATTTCCAAAGTAAAAACTTAGTTCTAATAATCTTCACCTAGAATAAATTCTTCGTCGGTGGATAATACATGCACCCATTTTTCAAGGCTTCATACAACAAGAGATATTTTTCCAAGATGCTTTCTTCTTTTAAAAATGTATTTTTATTTGAATAACAATATAGAAATCTACATTCAAAAGCACATGAACAAACACCAAGTTTTGGTTGCACAATGCTGAGGTGCATCTTTAAACCATATAAAATTGAATTTAGAAAGATTTTCTATATCCAAATAAATAATTCAATAAGCAAATTCCTGTAACACAACAAACCTGCTTCTGGCAATGGTAGCGCTTGCGAGAGCAGTCAGCTGAACAAGAATTGCAATGGTACTCAACCGATGGCCCCTCAGGCTTCATCAACTCTTCAGCAACAGCGGACTCCGGAAAAAACCTCGATGGAATGACTGGTGTTGCCACATTAGTCCTAGGAACTGGTGCGCATGATTGTTCCGTTTCAAAGCAATACAATTTTTCAACCAAAGAATCCATCTTTGCTGCTCCATTGGCATCAGCATTCTCCATTACAGAATCAGTCTCTTGTAACGGGTGGAAATTAATCAAACCCCAATGGTCCAAAAAATCCATCACCTCTTGCCTGGCATCCAACTCTCCAACTGAGAGCTCTGACAAATCTTTCAATTCAATTTGTGTGTTTGGATTTGCGTGAAATTTATTCATAATCCAATTACGTATCTCCATGTATATTTCGGGAGTCTGATTCTGTGACTTCCCATTAAAAAAAGAAGGCAATGCCCGCTCCTCCAGTGGATGAACTTTCGTCCAGGAAAACCAACCTACAAATCAGGAGGCAAGGGAAGAGAGTTATTTAGTCAGATAAATCTTAAATCAAAGATTCTGCATTTTTTATGCTCTCCCTCTCTCAGTGTGCGTGTGTGTGTGAGAGAGAAGGGGACAGGAGAGTTGAAACTGTAAGTGATGAGTTGTAGAGAGAGAAAAATCTGGAATTGGAGCGGTATTCATCTTGAATTGACACCCTTGTTTCATTTCAAGAAGCTTGAGAAAGAGTGAAATTGTTCTCTTACTTCGAATCAAAACCAAAAGTTCAAGAAATTAACAATCATCCACTCAAAAGACTAGACGTCTTATGTCTAAGCTCAACCAAATGCACAAAAACTAGGGTTTTATAAGGTACATTTCAACTCACCACAGTGAATCGGAACCACATGAGCATTAGTACCACGCGATCTAATAATTTCATATTCGGCTTCAATCTTCCCCTCCAACGCCTCCAAATCCTCCTTTGCGGCTTTCAATTCTTCCTCCGCCGCCTTCGCCGTTTTTCCTCCACCAAACTCCAGCGGCACCACCGCCCCCTGCTCATTTTTCACCACCGCTGACGACGACGAGGCGAACGAAGCCGCTGCCGCTGCTGCGGCGGCAGTGTTGGGGGATTGGCGAGCTCTGGTGCACGGACCGTTGTGGATCGGAGGGAATGGAACCGCAGAGAGCTTCTCTCGTGCTTGCCGCTTCGACGACGTCGCTCCGGAGTTCGATGTGTTACCACTACTATTGTTGTACCCTTTCCTCTTTTGGCCTCTACGCCTTGAAGAAGGTTGCTCAGACGCCGCCGTATCCGACTGTTTCGGTGGTGTAGCGGTGACTGTGGCGGTGGCGGAAGCGGCGGCGGCTGAGCTAGCCGCCGGTTGGTTTCCGGTGTCTTTGCGCTTTTCCTCCATCAAGGGCTTTCTTTGGAGACTCAGATCATCGTCTTCGAAGATATATCATATGCATACTCAGTTTCTGTATCTATGCATCGGCGGTCTATATTGATTAGCATGAACATGCATGCTTTGACTGATATTATTCGTATCTAACGGATTAAAAGATCTATTTCATTTTCTACGGCTTTGATTGGAGATTGTAAATCGCGTGATGAACTGACGGTTTCTTTTTATCCGATCTCACGCATTATGTACCAAATGATATTGCCAAGGAGATAATCAATTTGGTACAAGTAAGAAATTTTCACTCAAACGGTCTTGTTTTAAATTACTTCTAACGAGAAAAAATTAACGCAAATATGTAATTCTAAAAATAATTTTTTTAAAATTTAAAGAAAAAATAATAATTTTCAGATGATAATAAAATATAATTATTTGAAAACAAATATTTTTATAATTGACTTTTCAAAAAATAATAAATTAAATCAAACAGAATTTTTTGTTCTAGAGTTACAAACTAAAAAAAACATGTTTGGGTGAGCTTTCTGGAAACTTGAAACGGTTTCCAAGCCCAATAAAGTCTTTTTAAAAAAATGATAGTGTTTGAGGAAATAAAAGAAAAGGAATTCTAACCAACATCAAAGTCTCGCGAAGTCCGTTCTAGTGAAGCGTCAAAAACTAGCTTTTGAAATTCATCTCTTGGGAAGCCAACGTAATTTTAAGTAACAAATTTTATAGACAAATTTGACCACTTTTATTTCATAAAACTTGTTGAACTAGTGCTCTGTAAACTATAAACAAAAACCAGAGAGTTGTTAGGTGTCTTTTACTCAGATTCAAATTCCAATACTAAAATATTTTTCCTATTTAAACTAATCTTTGAGAATTCTTGATAGGTCACAATTCTTCAAATATTCTATTTTTATAATTTTTAAGTTAACTTTAAACTTTTAATTTTCAATTTCGACCTTTTGACTTCAGGTATTTTTCTCTGTGAATTGGTGCACACTGAAGTGCATTTTGAGAATAAAAAGTGATTTCATAATGAAAAGATATTTGGTTTCTCAAGTATGTAATTAACATTCCATCTTCAATAATTGATTAGCACGACAACAATGGAAGCATAAACATAAGCTTCATCATCTGCTTTTTTTTTCTTTTTTCTTTTTTTTTTTTCCGGCTATCTTCACTTCATCACTTTTATTATCTCTTTTTCTATTTTTATAATTTTCTTTATTCATGTTGTATGTCAATTCTTTTTTCTTCTTTTTTCATGCCATATGTCAATTAAACTACAGATAGATTTGTAGTCTTTCTGTAATTATTAAGGATAAAATTGTCAAGTTAAAACTATATTAATTGTTGAAAGGAATTTTAAAAAAATACATACCAAAACAACTTTTATCTTCTAAATTCATTCTATTGAAATGCATTCTTCAAAGGCCTTTAAATGGAAGGAATTTTGTAATCAAGAAGGTCCTCCAAACAGGGCCTGCATCAGCTTTCCTTATAACTAGGGAATAAATTCAAAGACAAAATAAAAATTTGTGTAATTTATTTAAAATAGGGTGAAGTACATCAAACTCCACTTGATAGCGTTTTGCAGTAAGTTTCATTTTAAAATAAAATAAAATTGGCCCCAAGGGTCAGTTTTTGACTTATTGTCAAAAACAAAAACAAAAAAACAAATTCTTTTACCTAAATTTAAACAATTTGTCTAATTGCATAAACCTCTTTACTTTGTGGGGCTATTTTAGTAAAAGTAATTCCTTTGTTTGGTTGGGAAGCTTTTTGGGAAAAAGAAAATTTATTACCAAAAAAAAAAACCTAGTAAGTTTTATGCAATTAACAATACATCCAAAATATTAAATAACTATTAAACATAAAATTAAATTTCTTGAAATTCAAGTTATTTGTCAAGGAATATTGAAAATAAAGCCAAATATAATACGTGACAATATTTAAAATTTTAGAGGAAAAAGGAAAAGTATTAATGATTTTTTTCCTCGCCACTGTGAAGTAAATGAATATTGTTTTAGAGACTTGTTTTAAAAGTGAAGGAAACCACATGAAATTTTAACACTTTCTAATGTTATAACATGTACCATATGGTTATAGATCAAAAAGGAGAAAAAGAGAGTGATAAACAAATTTCAACAAGATTGGAGTTGTGATTAAGTTTTCTTTGATTACATAGTACTTATAAAGAAATACTCCGTATAAAATTAATGGTAGGGTGGAATATTGTAGTTGGCTTTATAAGAAGTAATTGCTTGTTGGTAGCTGGAGTGACAAAATTTGATACGACTCGCCAATACAGTTCGAACACAACACGAGTAAAAAAAGTTTGGGATGACCTTAAACGGGTTCGGGTCGTAAACGGGTCGATACAATTAATCCGTTTAATTAATTGTGTCGTATTTGAGTTGAGGGATTCAACCCGTGTAACTCTTTTATACCCGTTTAACTATATGTGTCATAAGTAAATTTCTATTTAAGTTCCAAAATGACTATCTAAACTTGTATCTTATAATTATATATTATTTAGTAATTTTGTTAGATTGAAACTTATATTTTTCTAGTATTTAATGTTTGATCGAGTATTATTAATAATTTAAATAATAAAATATTTGATTTTATTAAACAGATCATTAAACAGGTTACACATGTAACCCGTTTAATAAACAGGTCGGGTTAGTATTGAGGGTTCCTGACACGATTATTAAATGGGTCGTGTTCGGATTAAGCTGTTTTATATAATACCCTTAAATTAACACGACACGATTACAGCCCACAAATACAAATTGTCACCCCTATTGGTAACACAAAATTAATTATAGGCATATTATTATAACATTTTGCTTTTGCCGAAGCTTTTGCAGTGCGTTTTCCATCTTTTAATAAGGCGGTCAACTCGAGTCTGTTACATCAATACTGTGACCATAACTGATACTGCTATTGACGGTGAAATTCACACGGTCCGATACGACACCGTTTTTCTGTAAGGAAGAGAGGAAAAGATCGATGAACCTTGATGGCACCGGTGTGGTGCCTGTCAAGAGCTCTCTGACGGCTAAGTTAGTCACCGGAGGTCTAAAAAGAAGGCAGGAATTTAATAATAGTTTTTTCGTCGTACCTTATTCCCGAGTCGTCGTTCTATTTATCGTCGCTTCCCTTATTCTCGATAAAGGAATTTCATCATCCTCGTCCCATGGGACTTATCCCATGGAAATCTTATCCTTGATAAGATTTGTCATGGAAATCTTATCCTGCATAAGATTTGTCATCATTCTTATCCATGGAAATTGTTACCTCTAATAATAAAATATTATCGTTAATCACCGAAAAGATCTGGCGACCGGTCAACACTTTGTTGCCTCTATTGTTATGTCAAGATAGGTTTATTTTTCCCTATCAGTTGCCCCCCATTCCCAAACTTCTTCGTTTAGCTTTGGGAATGTAAGTTTTTTTATTTTTTTTCCTACCCTGGAAACAGTACCCGCGGGTACTATTCATATGAACAGTAGAATAATTTTATTTTTTTTTTTCCCTACCCTAGGAACAGTACCTGCGGGTACTGTTCATATGAACAGTAGAATAATAATATTTTTTCTGCCCTGGGAACAGCACCCGCGAGTATTATTCATATCTACAGTAACTCTTTTTACTCTGCTCTAGGTACTATTCTTAGTACCTTTGGGTACTCTGCCCCTGGGTTTTTTTAATACCCTTGGGTAATCTTCCCCTGGGGTGCTCTGCCTCTGGGTACTATTTTTAGTACCCTTGGGTACTCTGCCCCTGGGTACTAGTTTTACTCAGATCGTAACTCATTTAATAAGGGAATTGAACTTTACGAGCTTTACTCAGCTTACCCCTTTAGTAAGGGATTTTTATTTACTATCCCTTATTGTAAGGGGATATTAATTACGAAATTCATTCAGCCCGGATCCTTGTAGTACAGGACACTCATTTATTATCCCTTATATTACGGGGATATGGATTACGGGATTTATTCAACCCGGGTCCTTATAATACTGGATACTCATTTACTATCCTTTATAGTACGGGGATACGGATTACGGGATTCACTCAGCCCGGGTCCTTATAATACAGGACACTCATTTACTATCCCTTATAATACAGGGATACGGATTACAGGATCTACTCAACCCGGGTCCTTGTAATACAGGACATTCATTTAATATCCCTTATAATACGGGGATACGGATTACAGGATTCACTCAGCCTGGGTCCTTGTAAGACAGGACACTCATTTACTTTCCCTTATAGTACAGGGATACGGATTACGGGATTCACTCAGCCCGGGTCCTTGTAATACAGGACACTCATTTAGTATCCCTTATAGTACGGGGATACTGCACGTATAAAGATAATTGACCAAGAGTCAAGGCAACTGAAAAGAATTTTATTAAAGACCATCATTGCCTCAAGGCTTATTAAAAACAAGATAACATGTGAGGGAGCTACCCTCCATTTAAAATGATTAACTAAAATGCCCCCAGTCTTTATTGTGAATGACTTGATAAGGCTAATTCCAGCCGTGAGACAATTTCTAGTCGGTATACTCATCTGAATCCTTCTCATGATATGTGCTATCGCTCTGGTTGAAGAACGATCTTTTATATTTGGTATTATTTTCATCCCTGGCGAGAGAGGCTGGCCTCTTCTTATCCTCTCCTTCCTTCCGTGCACTCATGGTGTCTTCAGCGTTGATATGTTTTTGCGCTCTAATCAGCAACTCTATCATACTGGTGGGAGATTCTTTTGATAAGGAGAACAAGAATCTGAAGGTTTAGAGTCCTCCTATGAAAGCGGTCAAAGCTACCTTGTCGTCCACCTCTTCTACCTGTAACATCTCTGCATTGAATCGGGTGATGTATTCCTGAATCGACTCTTTCTTTTGTTGCTCCACGGTAAATAGGTAGGTAGCCGGCCTCCTATGCCTCTGACCTGCAATGAAGTGGCTCACAAACTGTTTACTCAGTTCTTCGAAGGTGTTGATGGTTCCTGGCTTCAGCTTGTTGAATCAAACTCTTGCTTATTCCTTAA